CTCGATCCCAGGACCCTGAGATCATGACCTGAGCCGAAGGCAGACGCTTAACCATCTGAGCCACCCAGGCACCCAAAAGTATCTTTTTTTTAACGTAACTGAATCAAATTGAAAATATTTGAATATTGCAACAGATCAAGGAAGATTTTATATAAGTTATCAAAGAAAGAATTTTACAAAATATTTCTGAACTAAATAAATTCATTGGTGTTTTTTAAGTTCCCCAGAGTATTCCCCAAGCTTTATGAGTCATCCTTAAATAGAATCAAAGATAAAACTCCAAGAGTTGTTCTCAGATAAATCTGAACTTGATCTAAATACTTGACAAAAGAAGAAAATTAGAGCTCAAATTCATTTACTACTTAAAATGCGAGCACATGCATTTCAAGGCAAATGGAGCACATATGTGGTTCAATCAAAGAGAATCTATTAATTTATGATCTGTTAATATAATTCAACCCATCAGGAGTTTAAACAAAATACCCTGTATTCTTATTTTATAGGGATATCTTAAAAAGCAATGGATAAAACAGCATTCATTTCTCAATTCAAATGAATAAAAAATAAATAAATAATTTATGTGCTAAATAGGAGTAGAAGGATATCTCTTTAATGTGATATAGAGTCAGAATCAGTATTATATGTACTCAGGAAATATATAAAGAATACTATTTTGGGATGCCTGGGTGGCTCATTTGGTTAAGCATCTGCCTTTGGCTCAGTTCTGGTATCGAGCCCCTCATCATCGGGCTCCTTGCTCAAACAGGGAACCTGCTTCGTCTCCCTCTGCCTTTCTCCTGGGCTTGTGCTCTCTCTCTTTCCCTCTTTCTCTGTCTCTCAAATAAATAAATAAATGAAATCTAAAAAAAAAAAACTATTTTTTTTTGCAAAGTTCTGTATGATACCATACATACAAACGATTTAATATTGTTTAAAAAGTTTTGGACAGGGGTACCTGGGTGGCTCAGTCTGTTGGGTATCTGACTTTTGGCTTTGGCTCAGGTTGTGATCTCAGGGCCCTGATCTCAGGGTCATGGGATGGAGCCCTGCATAGGGCTCTGCACTGAGCAAGGAGTCTGCTCAAGTTTCTCTCTTCTTCTCCCTCTGCCCCTCCCCACCTTGCACTCTCTCTCTTGCTCTCTGTAAAATAAATATTTTAAAACTTTTGGACAGATTTTAGAAAGTTTTTACAAAGATGGAACAAGAAAAAATATATAAGCATTGTCTTGGAAGAGGGTAAAGTGTTTTAAATATGACATGATTATTTCCTTTAAAAGTTCAAAGATATTAGCTAAAACATATTATTTAATATAAAATTATCTGGATAGAGAAAACAATAGGATAGTCATGTAATTTATATGACACAATGTTTAATTAATGAAAACAATTCATTTATAATGGAATTTTTTGAGATGTATTTGACATATATTAGTTTCAGGTGTATAGCATAGTGACTCAATATGTGTATATATTGTGAAATGATCACCACAATAAGTCTTGTTAACATCCATCATCACACATAGTTACAGATTTATTTTTTGTGTGATGAGAACTTTTAAGAGCTACTCTCTTAGCAACTTTCAAACATATAATACAGTATTATTAACTATAGTCACCATGCTTTACATTACATCTTACAACTTATTTATTTCATAACTGGAAGTTTGTACCTTTTGAGTTCCTTTTTACCCCTTTCTTCTACCCTTACCCCCTACCTCTGGGAGCCATCAATCTCTTCTCTGTATCTATGAGTTCATTTGTTTCTTTCTTTCTTTTTTTTTTTTAGATTCCATACAGTAGCAAAATTTAAAAACATGAAATTCACAGAAATTAATTTAATGATGAATATATGAACTAGGGTAAAAAATGATAACCTTAGGTGATGGATCTCACCAAAAATATGTGAAAATAGACAAAGACATTGTGTTCTTATATAGAAAGATGAAATACTTCAAAAATATCCATTCTTCTCCAAGTAAATGTGTCAATGGAAATAACAAATTCTCAATCAAAATTCCAACAGGTTATTTGAGATAAAATAATTCTGAAATTCAACTTTAAGATAAAATATGCAAAAATATAAAATAATTTTCCTACAGAATAAAGCAATAACAAGTAAAAGTAGACAGCAGGGTAAATAATCCTTACCACATATTACAATTTTTCTAAAATAGTGTGGAACTTTTGAGGAAAAAATAGATGTCTAGAAGTAGCCCTGGGTATATGAGGAGATATTCATATAAAACAAAAGCATTCTGGTTGGGAGAATACATCTTCCTGAAACACACCCAAGCATCAGTATGGTTTAAATTCTTGCTGAAGGTAACATTTCAAAGCAGTGAAGAAAATATGGCTTACACATTGAATCCTGTTGTGATAAACATGATTATAGAAACTATCCATTTTCTCTTGTATAATGGGAAGAATATTCACAACAAACCATGTTTGTTCTTTAAATCATATTACATTATTATTATTTTTTTAAGATTTTATTTATTTATTTGACAGAGAGAGACAATGAGAGAGGGAACACAAGCAGGGCGAGTGGGAGAGGGAGAAGCAGACTTCCTACAGAGCAGGGAGCCCAATGCGGGGCTCGATCCCAGGACCCTGGGATCATGACCTGAGCCAAAGGCAGATGCTTAATGACTGAGCCACCCAGGCGCCCCAGTATTACATTATTAAAGCAATTTGTAATATTTTACTAGAAAGAACGGTAGTAAAAAAAATACAAAACGAGTATCTCATGCTCTTCCCAAAAACAATCGTGATTAACAGTTCAGTGCATTTCCTCCAAGTCTATACTGTATGAACAATTTTTTGTTGTTGACATCATAACTTGATTTCTCAATCAGCATTATGCTCATTTGCCATTTTATCACACATGTTTAAGAAGCACCATTACTGACAACTAAGTAAATTTCCACATATTAATTCTTGATTATTTCCTTTAAAGAAATTGTATGGGATATTTGGATTATTTCCTATCTTTTGTCTTTATAGAAAATAATTTGGAAATAATCATGTACACAAGCTTTTTTGGTACAATGCAGACTTTTAAACTAGGTATCTCTGTAGGTGAATAGAGGTATATTCTGTTTGTTCCTTGGTTTTCATTTGGCCATAATCTCTCAGATGTTTGCACAAGAGCTAAATATAAAGTTGATGATTTTTAAAAATTTTTCCCTCCTTCTATAAATTATTGTTTTATTTAGTATTAAAAAGGTTCAGAAAGGAAGTGAAATAGTTTTGTAAAATAAGCCCTTAAAAAGCGAGCAATTATAGTTATTTTTATGTGGGCTAATCAGTATCCTTTTAAATGTGCAATCAAGTGGCATCTATAATTATTTAAGCCACTTGGCTCGCACATACAATTGAAACTACTAAAATTCACTTGCTTACTTTTCTTTCCTACTCCTTCAGGGCTTATAACTAAGAGTTGATTCTTTTTTTTCTTCTCTTCATAAAGCTTAGTTTTGGAGGAATTCCAGTACCAGGCAAACCTGGGACCTTTTTAAAGAAAAACTTCCATGGATGTATTGAAAACCTTTATTACAATGGAGTAAACATAATTGACCTGGCTAAAAGACGAAAGCATCAGATCTACACTGTGGTAAGTTAACATCTTTCTCAGCGTGGTGGTTTCTAATACATTGGAGTAAGTCTTTTTCCCATCCCATCTTCTGAACCTCTTTATAATGTGTTTATATTATACTTTTTGAGGTCCTATCAGTCTCCCAGGTGAAACTGGAGAGAAGAGAAAAGGCAGGGACTGAGTCAGTGTGAATTGCGTTATCAGGAGTAACAATACATTAGAAGCACCTAGAGAATTCCATTTTCCTGGCTATCAGCTGTGTGCTAACTGTGGGGAGTGTTTGCAGCTTACCCTGGTTAACACCAATGTCTTTATTATCTCTGGGAAATGCAACAGTGGAGCCACAGATTCTATTAAATTCTATAGCTTGGGAATTGTGTATTTGTCTCATTATTTATATTAAAATATGGAATTTTGAACAAAAGAGGTTAAACTTCGTGTGTTTTTGAGATTTCCTTTGTAGCATTTATCATGCTGGCAAGTTATATACTTTTCTAATTCATTAACATTTATCTTCCCCAATAGACTGAGGGCCAGAACTGTCTTTTTCATTTTCATCACTGCATACCCAGTAACTAGAGGAGTGCCTTGTACATAGTAATTACTCAATAGTGGTGTTGATATTTCCAACTATAATTGTGGATTTGTTCATTTCTCCTTCCAGTTTTATCTGTTTCGCTTCATATATTTTATATCTCTGTTTAATACATACACAGGATTGTTGTCTTTGTGGTGGATTGACCTTTTTATCATGATGTAATGTTCTTCTCTATGATAATTAACTTTGCTCTGAAATCTACTTTATCTGATATTAATATAAACACTCCTTTTTTTTTATGAATGTTTATATGAACATATCATTTTTTCATTTTATACATTTAACTTGCCCATATCACACATTTGTAGTGAGTTTTTTGTACACAATAAATAGTACAGTCATTTTTAAATCCACTTTGTCAATCTCTTTTTTAAATATTTTCCTTTATCTATGCCTGCTTATTATATAATTATTTTATTATTTCCTCTCTCTACATTTAGAATCTTTATCAGTGTCATTTTGCTTCAACTGTCAAACATAATTTAGAAAACTCAAGGGAAGAAAATCTATTTTACTTACTATTTTTGCTTACTGTTATTCTTTCTTCCCTCCTGAGCTTTCCAGATTCCTTCTTTTATCCTCTTATTTCTGTTTTAAACAACTTCCTTTGCCATTTTTCAAGGTGTGTGTTGGTGACAAATTCTTAGTTGTCTTTCAATCTATAATGTCTTGGTAGCCATTCCATTCTTGAAGGGTATGTTCTCTGTCTAGAAGACTCTGGTTTTATTTATTTATTTATTTATTTATTTATTTTCAGTCCTTGAAAAATATTAGGCCACTTTCTTATGGCTTCAATGGTTTCTGGTGATGAATCCGCTATTACTAAGATATTTTGCCCATATATAAGCTGTCATTTCTCTTTCAATGCTTTCAAGATCTTTCTTTTGTCTTTTGTTTTCAAAAGTTTGACCATTATGTGTTGTGTGATTTCTTTAGGTTTATCTTGTTTGTATTTCATTCAGTTTCTTGAGTATGTGGGCTGCTGTCTTTCAACAAACTTAGGAAGTATTCTGCCATTTGAGTAATTTTTAGTCCTCTCTTTCTTTTCTCTTTTCTGAATTCCACAACAATGAATGCTAGAAATTTCATTATAAGCCCACAAGTCCCTGATCCTCTCTTCTTATTTTCTTCTTGGTTTCTTTTGTCTTTTGTTCAAGTTGAGTAATTTCTATTGTTAGATTCTCAAGTTCACTAATTCTTTTCTTATTATCTTCATTCTGTTATTGTGCATATCTCTTAATTATTTTTATGACTCTTACTGTATTTTTAAGTTCTAAAACTTTCATTTGGTTCTTCTTTACCTTTTATGTTTCCTTGCTAACACTTTCTATTTTCTTGTCTCAAATATGCAATCATTGCTTGAAGGATTTTTATTATAATGGCTGCTTAAAACTATTTTTCAGATAATTCTAACATTATTTTTTTTTGTCATCTCAGGGTTGGCATCTATTGATTGTCTTTTTTCATTTAATTTGAGGTCTTCCTGTTTCTTGGTATGACAAGAGGATTTTTATTTTAACCTGGTCAGTTTAGGGATTATGCTATGATCAATCATATTAGCTGTTGATTAGCTATTCTGTATTAGCTGTCTTCCTCTGACACTATTCCAATAGGGGAGAGGGGATTTTACCTAATTTCTCCTAGGTGGGGGTAGTGTCCAGGTTTTCCACTCAGACCCATTGACACCTAAGTGTAAGGTGGGGAGGAATAAGAGCTCTAGTTCCCCAAACACTATTCAGTGATATCTCTAACTGGCTGGCATGTGTATGAAAACCTCATCACTGTTCTCCACATGACCTCCATTGTCATCATAGTGTGTATGTGTGGGGGGATGTCCTTGTTATTACTAAACTGTGATGAAAGGCATGATTTGGCACTAAAACGTCTTCAGTACCATTCGTGCAGGAAGTGGATGGGGTTGCTCATAACTGCTGAGTGGGGGTACATAGTCCAAGCTCTACCAGACATGTGGTTTCAACTGATACTACAGGGAGAGGCTTGCTACTCTCTGACAAGGCTTAAAGTCCCTGTTCCCTACTCAGTCTTCTCTGACCCAATCTTGATCAGGGGTTTTGACAGCTTGTTATAGCATGGATGAATGGAAATAGGGTCAGAATTTTTTGTATGGTGTTTGGCTGGCATAGAGCAGTTATTGTCTAAAGATATTCTGTCTTACTATGCTGTCCCTTTCCTGGGCCTTTGAATATAGAGATCAGGCTTCTAATTGGGATTTACTTTTTATCTGCACCAGTTGGTCTCTCCAGGTTGCTGACTTCTTCAGCAACAAGTCTAAGATGTATGAGACAAAAAGAAAATCTGGGAAATTCTTCACTATTGTTCATTGGTTCTCAAGATCCTTAAACATGTGTTCTTCTCTCCACCATTCAGAGTCTTCTTAGGTTTATTTTATACATAGTGTCCAGCAGTTTTTAGTTGTACTTAGTGGGAGTAATAGAGAAAATTACACTACTCCATCTTCCCAGAAGTGGAAGTCCTTTAAACTGACATTGTTCCAAAAGCCATGACAAGAGGAGGCCATTGCATCACTTGACAGGCAAAATCTGATTATTTTTGTAATCTCGCCAGGAAATTCTCTGTAAAACCTATGGGACTTAAATGACCTTGATATTTATTTTCCCCTTGATAAGTATACCTTATAATGAATATTTTATTTCATTTGGGCATTTGAATTTTATATAGGTAAAGCATTTTCTAAAATGGCCATTGGATTCCAGGGTGTGAGATATACTTGCTTGCTTGAGGGGAATCATATGTGGGTTAAAAGTTGCAATTATTTTAAAAGGTTAGTGCCAAATTTCTGACTCCTGTAGTTTTGAAGAGTAAGGATAGTGCTAAGAAGGCTTTAATCCTCTGGCTCTGGTTCTAGGAGATCCAGTGACATTACTTACCCATCCTTGGCTCATGCTCAGGGATCTTGACAATTATCTTATCCACCAGTACTTAGGTTGTCCATTTCCCAATTGACCTAAGCCCTAGATTGTTGGTGATATTTTTCTTGAGTCTCCTTCAGGAGACTTGAGCCATGTAAAATATACTCATGCCCATCCCATCTCCAATATTGCTAACAAATATTTCATAATGTACCAGTGTCATTGATTTCAGTCTGCTTGTTGGTTGTAAGATCTCATGCTACTGGGAGTTTCGTTTAGAGTAATAACATGAACATCAACACATCTGAAAGACAAGACACTGTTTGCCATTGTGCAAGGAGTTGGTAGAGTGTGTTGAAACACAAGGAGCTCATGACATTGTTCACTTCCATTGTTTATAAACAGGTTCAAAAATATGTGAGCCTGAGCCTTATATGTAAATAACTAAAATCCTCATGGCTGTATTCAAAAAAGGAAATACCCATACATATTATGTGTTAGAAATGTCTTTAATGATGATAGGGGCGCCTGGGTGGCTCAGTTGTTAAGTGTCTGCCTTCGACTCAGGTCATGATCCCAGGGTCCTGGGATCGAGCCCCACATCGGGCTCCCTGCTCAGCGGGAAGCCTGCTTCTCCCTCTCCCACTCCCCCTGCTTGTGTTCCCTCTCTCGCTGTGTCTCTCTCTGTCAAATAAATAAATAAAATCTTTAAAAAAAAAAAAGAAATGTCTTTAATGATGATATATATTTAAGAATGTGCTGGTTACACAGAGCAAGAAAAGGAGAACATAGAGAAAAAAATGAATTTCTGAATACTGGAAGCTTTCATCATCTCTTTTTTTCTGAGACAATGATTAACCAAAACTTTAATAAACGTTTTGTTGTTTTTATACTACTTTAGCACTTACCAAGTTGCCTGAAACTTTGCTAGCATACTTCATTCCTCAGAGTTTAATTGGCTGTCGGTATTATTAATATGAAGCACAAGGAATCCATTTAGCACTAATGTACTTGGGGAAAAAAAACCAAGAAAACTGTTTCACTTTGCAGGTAGACAACCTTTAGTTTTAAACTTCAAAACTTAAAGAAAAAAAAAAGAAATATTATTTTTATTCCAAATTGCTTCCATTACCTTGCTTAAGTGAGAATTCATATCACTACACAGGCACACACACACACACAGACACACACACACACAGACACACACACACACACACTCCTTTCTATACCTAGTTTTTTTTCCTTTAGGAATTCTGTGAGGGAAGGGAGAGTTTGCACTGTTAATTACAAGTACAAACTCTTTTATTCCCCTACTCAGGCTTAAAGTGTTTCCCCAAAGACATAATATCAGCTTTGCTCCAAGTTACTAAGTCACTGCTGTGCTAGGTCAGGGTTTTTGAAAGGGATGGTGCTTTTGTCCTTTGCCAGTGTTCACAGACTCTCACAGTTATTGAGCCTTGGAAAGCTCAGAGTTTATCAGGAGAGTTGAGGAATCAACAAATCAGGTAGAAAGTGTTATGATAATACCC